TATTAGGAAGTGAGCACCGATTACTGCTTTGTATATATGATGTTTTAATATTTGATACTATGTATTATTTAATATTAATATTTTAATGTTTTATGGATGTACTATATTGGCAGTGTGCCTTGTAAGCCGCCCTGAGCCTACGGGGAGGGCGGGATAAAAATCGAAATAATAAATAAAATAAATAAAATGTGGTGTAGCAGCTAAATTATTGAGCCGGGATCTGGGAGACCCAGGTTCAAATCCCCACACTGCCCTGAAGCTCATCTTGAGCCAGTCATTTCTCTCTGTTTAACCTACCACAGTGGGTTGGTTGTGAGGGTAAAAAACAGGAGATAGGAGACCTACGTACAGCCAGGGCTATTTTTGGGCAGGAACGCACAGGAACGGAGTTCCGGCTGGCTCCTGAGTTGGCCACGCCCAGCAGGAACTCATTAGCATAATAGGCCACACCCAATAGCAGAAACGCATTAGGATTGGCTACGTTAGGGGTGTGTGGCCTAACATGCAAAGGAGTTAAAAAAGCCCTGGGTTTTGACAACAAACAAGGTAAACAGAATAAGAAGGGAAAGATGGGTGTGTCTGGATGACCACACTTCTGGTAAGATGGTGGTGTGGCCTAATGGGCTAATGAGCTGTGCTATCAGGGTGTGGCCTAATATGCTAATGAGTTCTTGCTGTTGGGTGTGGCCTATTATGCTAATGAGTTCCTGCTGGGCCTTTTCTACAAAAAGAGCCCTGCGTACAGCCATTGCCTTAAGCTTCCTGGAGACAGGGAAAGATAAGAAATATGCCCAAAAGACAGAAAATAGCTCTCCTCACAACAAAAACCCACCAAAACATTCATCTGGAAGGCCAGAAAACAGCATATTTCTTGATCATATGATTCACTTGTCTATAAATAATAATATTTTGGCGTTTTGTATATTTTAAAAAACATGCTTTTTATGTTTATAATTTTTTTTAAAAAATCAGCAGCAAAGCTGTTTACCAGCACTGGCTGGTCGCTGTGGTAGGCCCGGGGAAACGGTGTTCCGCTGGAGGGCCGGTTGCTGTGGCGACAGGAGCCGTGGGTCAGTCAACGAGGAGGTCACCAGAGACTGAGTCACTAAGGAGCCTCCAGGGTTACTGAACTGCAGTGTGTTCTGGTTGGTCACTGGAACCGTCACGGGCATGGCAAAATTGGGAGCCGGAACTGCAGACTGAGGAGAGAAAGAGAAAACAGGGTTAGATCTCGAACACCCCCCAGAAGGCTGAGAGGAGAGGGACGCGACTGCACACGGTGGACAAGAAGACAGCTGGGATTAGCGTTGCCAGGCAGAAATCACACCATCCACACGTCAATACAATTTGGATGCTTTTTGACATCAGCCAATGTCCCAGGACCCTTCCAGACCTTTTTTTTAAAAAAAACTGCATTTTTCCTTTTGAATTGTGCTCAGCGTTAGGAACTTAGATACCCCTCTGAGGTAACAGAAAAGGAGGTGGCTCATCTGGAGGGAAGCAGGCTTTTGGGTCAGACATATATGGCTCTGTTCAGACCTTATGTGAAAAGAGTGGTTTGTTTTAACTATAGCTCATGAAATCAGGATCTGGCTCGCAGACACTCCCAGTTTCACAAACTAATTGCACCGTGGTTTCGCATTAGATCTGAGTGGAGTCTCAAATCTCTTCCCAGTCACAGACTCAAACCCTGGTTTGCCTCAATGAGTGCTGGCTTCATCACCTTTGGCTGTGTCCAGACATTTCTGCAGCTGAAGAGCACGTGAGGACAGCGGCAGGGTATGAATAAGCCAGGATGACCCTTCCATTCGTTACACAAAACCATAATTATGACTAGTTACCGTTAATAAGCCGACTTCAAAACCATGCTTTAAGATCCGGATGTGATGGAAGTTTTAACTAACCACAGTTAGTAGAGCCACAGTCCAGACAATCACACTAACCATGGTTAGCGTAATTAAACCCTGGTTGGTTATCTTGCCATGTCTGGACTGAGCCATCTTGTGCTTTTGTAAGAAGGTACTTAGCATCTACAGGACCAGAGACAGGGAAAGCAAGCTTGCGCTGGAGACAGGCTGGGATCCATCAGACCTTGGGCCGGGGGGGGGGGGGAGGGGGGGAAAACTGATTTTTAATTCTCTTTGTCTTTCCCCCACCCGAGGGAGACAGGCGCTACATCTGAGAACCTTCAGGATAGGCTCCATGCAATGCAGTGAGGAAAGAGAGCTGGGATAAGGAAGTCCAACATACATATTATTCTCTGTATATGACAAAGTTTGAGTCCAGTGGCACTGTTAAAACCAACAAAGTTTAATTCAAGGTATAAGCTTTCATGTGCCTGCCTTGAATTAAACTTTGTTGGTCTTAAAGGTGCCCCTGGACTCAAACTTTATTCTGCTGCTTCAGACCAACACGGCTACCCCACCTGAATCTGTATATGACACTGCACCGCTGCAAGGATTCCTCACCTGGACCCTGCAACAGACTTAGGAGCCTAAGACAGAGTGGTGAGAGCATGCTCTCTCTTTCTCTCCTTCAGCCCCAAGACCATTGTGGGATTTTTTCCCTCCACCTCAAAGGATTAAGGCAGAGAGCTGAGTTAATTCCAAGACAGAGCCATGCCACTTCCTGTAATGGGGGGGGGGAGAGAGAGCAAGCTCTTCTGCTGTCAACCCCAAACCTATCACTCCCAGCCTACCTGATGTTCTCTGCTGCCAGGAACATTCCCCAGCATTCCAAGGGCAGCATGCATGAACAGCTCTCAGCCAAAATATGTATTAAGGTTTTGGGAGGCAAGGTTATTCAGGGGAAAGGACAGGTGTCTCTTCTGCGGAACAAGACCTCCACTAAATCTAAAGTAACGCCCTGCCGCACCTTTCGTGTCTACATGGCCAGATGCACATGGCCCACAGCACCAACCCCCATTTTGTTTTGTTTTTAATTTAAAGAGCTCTACCAGAACTCCCAGATTCAAGTGGCACACAGAGAAAGTGTTGATTTCAATTTAAAGAGCTCTACCAGAACTCCCATATTCAAGTGGCACACAGAGAAAGTGTTGAAAAGAAGTTCCTGAATAATGTTTTTTACAGGCTCACTGTCTTGACCCAGATGGCTTAGGCTAGTTCTATCTCATAGGATCTTGGAAGCTAAACAGGGTCAGCCATGGTTAGTATTTGGAAGGGAGACCACCAAGGAAGCCCAGGGTCCACCTCTGCAGGCAGGCAATGGCAAACCACCTCTGAACATGTCTTGCCTTGAAAACCCTATGGGTTCTCTGTAAATCAGCTGTGACTTTACTATTGTGAGAAATGCAAGGTGGGAAAAACAGAGAACACCCAGTATGCAGAATTCCTGAAAGGAAGGCCAGGATATGAATGTGAAAATACATAAATAAATATCTGAAAAGGATGCGCCAGAAGATTGGCAACTAGAAGCCCCAAACCACATCTGGCCCACTGACAGATACTGCCTGTTCTCCCTTCCCCCAATTACCAATGTAGGTCTAGTTCTCACTGAAAACTTCTGTCTGGGCTATACCACTTCGGATTGTATCTGGGGCTCTGTATAACCGTTTTGCGTGGCTTGGATCCTATGACATTGGCCCCCTCACCTTTCTCTCCTGCCTCTGCGGAGGTTTTTCCCTCTGCTGCAGCACTCACTTCCTCTGCCGCTAACGCTTCCATGTGCCCAAGTTCAATATTCTTCAAGGAATCCACCACACCTTAGGAAGCACTAGTGGCAGAGGAAGCGAGCGCCACATCAAAAGGAAAGCACCGCAGCAGCTGGAAAGAAGCCGTGAGGGGAACAAACACCACAGGATCCAAGCCTTTCCTGTTTGTTCATTCAAGGATGAGGGATTCCAACGTGTGATCCCCACGTGCAGTTTGAAGCAACACAGCTCAGACACACCTTTATCAACATAGTGCAAACCCAGTATGGAGCAAGAAATTAACAGCACTAATTTACCTGGCCACTTGAAACGGGTGGGGTCAGGATGCTGACCCACCTCCCTAGTTATTCCCCTTCTCACACTGGTCTTAGTTGTGCACCAGGTCTATAGTCCTCAGATCCTCTCCTTGACCACAGCAAAGAGATGTCCACCTGAGCACCTTCATAGGGTGGTGACGGCCATTCAGTTGCTTCTTGTTATGAACCGACCTGGGTTATTTTTAAAAGGTTCGCCACAAGCTGGCTGGACATGGCTCTAAGCATCAAACAGGTTGCAGGCCGAAGGTTGAAAGGGATAAACAAGACAACAGTGTGAACAAGAGAAGCTTTTCGGCACCGGGGATCAAGCAGTTTCGGGGTCAAGACTACCCTTAGTCTCCCAAGAACCACAGCCTCAGCTCAGTTAGGCCACTTCTAGGGAAGGGGGGGGCAGAAGTCCACTACAATCAACTTGTCAGATTCCCTCCCCCAGGAGGCCTGAAAACTCTCATCAATGTAAGAATGGGGACTGTCCTCCCCCTGGAATGGCTTCAGTTAGCCTGACTTACTGAAGTCAAAGAAGAGAGTGAGTAAAATGGGGAAATGGAAGAGACCTGGAGTGAAAGGGGGTGAGAGTTTGATAATAATTTCACAGTGACACTAACTCAAGACATGTTTCTAAACAGTATGTCTATGCACGGCCAAAAAATACTGGTTTCAAGAAAACAGAGTGATAAACTCCAAGTAATGTGAACAAAGACTCCCAGAATATGTCAGTTACAGGTCGTTCAAGTGTGGTTCTTTAGGGGTGCCAGTTCACGGTTGGAAAATTCCTGGAGATTTTGGGGGTGGGGCCTAGCTTGGGAGGGGAGGGACCACAGCAAGGTATAAGCCCATAAGGTTCGTTTTCCAGAGCAGCCATTTTAGGATCAGTTGTCATTCCAGAAGATCTCCTGGAAGTTGGCAACCCTAACTGTCCCTATTCATTCACCTGTTCAGAGTTCACTGGGTACAGTGGGGAAGGGGGCGTGACTGAAAGTGTTCCCACTGACCCTGCTCTCAGACTCCATTTGCTGATGTAACACCTGAACACATGTAGAATATGTGATTGAGTACGTTGGAAAAAAATGGATAGTGCTAGATTGTGCATAGGTTCCAGGCACATAACCATGCAGAGATCAGGGGTAGGGACAGTAGGCATGACCCTGACTGAACCCTGGCCTTCCATGTGTTCTTTTATACCAAATAAACCCTTCAGAAGAGCTTTTCTTTCTTTTACTAAATATGAGATCTCTGGCGGAACAACCTGACAATCCCACTTTCCATTCTTTTTTGGGGGGGTGAGCAATGCTCCCTCTAAGCTGTGGAGTCTTGTGAGCAAAAATTCCACTTTGTGAGCTACTGGCATTAAAGTTGTGAGCGAGCGATTTGGGTGCTGTGTCAGTTAGTCTGCTCTGGAGCCATCCTTCCTGAGCTGAGACAAAAATCTGTGAGCTGGAGGCTAGAAAACTGTGAGCTAGCTCACACTAACTCATCATAGAGGGAACACTGGGTCTGTGTGTGTGTGTGTGTGTGTGTGTGTGTGTGTGTGTGTGTGTGCGCCTGGAAGTCATGGTTGACTTCCAGCAACCTCTAGTGGGGCTTGAATGTTTCAGAGACATGGCTTACTATTACCTGCCTCTGCATCCCAGCCCTGGTATTCCTTGGATGTCTCCCTTCCAAGTATTTGTCAGGGTCGGCCCTGCTTAGCTTCCATGATCTGATGAGATTGGGCTTGCCTGGACTATCCAGGTCAGGGCCCACATTTCATTCTTGATTAACCCAGAATTTAGAATTGACCCACTCAGGGATACTGCCCAGTAGGACCCTGACTGTCAGCTATCACTCGGAAAAAAAGTTTGGAATTAATTTCATCAGCCAGGTTTAAAATCAGCAACACAAAAAGTAAGAAATTTTAGAATGCCAGAGTTCCACTTGGATGGGGGGGGGGGCAGAGAGGGGTAGCTTTTGGTTATGTTTTAATTTGGCTGATAATTTGGGTTAGCCCACCACCAAAGAAGCACATGCTTAACTTTCCAGATGAAGCCAGAAGGTCTCAAACTATACTTATTTAACTTTGACTGGACTGTGCCTGTTTACTTCAGGAAGCAAAATTGTTTTGACGTTATACCTACGACTTTTATTATCCATTCTTATTTTTACCAGGTGATTACTGGGGAATGTTTTTGTTGCTAGTCTCATCTCATAAATTTAATCTACAATTCTTTTTAAGTATTTCCTTTTTCTTTCCCCACAGATATTTCCCAGAGGAATGTGGGCTCAAGAATCATTAGGACATGGATCTGGGGGACCTGGGTTCAGATCCCCGTGCTGTCATGGAAACTCACTGAGTGACCTTGGGCCTGTCAATCTCTCGTAGCCTAACCTCCCTCACCCGTTGGTTGCTGTGAGGATAAAATGGAGGAGGGGCAAATGATGTTGTGAAGCTGCTTTGTGTCTCCGTTGGGGGGGAAGTGAGGTATAAATAAATAAAACTGCCCCACACATACACACATTTTTATAGGTTCACTGTCCAGCTATTGACACTGGGCCTATTTAACTCTAGCAGCTTCTGGCCTTTTTTAAAAATAGGCCAAAACACATAATGTCTCTAAATCCATGCAGAGCCTTATGAAGCCATAAATCTGTCGCTAGCCTAAGCAGGAAAAACCCTCTAAAAGAAATTCTGGGGTATTTTTTCCCTTCTTTTTCCGCAAGAACCTCAGTGTCTGTCAAACACCCTCATCCCTACATTAAGAGGGCAGGAGCAAAACCAGGTGAAGTCCAATACCAGGGAAAGGTCCTCAAAAATCAAAGGCCCAGTTCAGCACACCGCTCCCAGTGTGGCCTAACAAGGCCTTGGCATAACTAGGCCTCACTACTGCCAGTCCTGTTCCTTAGCAACTGGGCTCGCTCTGCCTCCTGAACGTCAGAGGGCTGTTTCATAGCCTTTGCCTTAAGGGTGCAAATTAGCTGAGGCTCCGTGAAAGCCAAACCATGCAAAATTCCCCCCCTCCATAATGTTTGCCCCCCATGGATAGGATTGCCAACTTTTTGTTTCAAAGAAAAAAAAATTCTGAGTGCTTTAAGGGAGGGTGTACAGACTGACTTCCCTTTGCGAAGGGAGAATTGTTTTTTAAAACATGAGCATGTTACGTCTGAGAGGCAGCTTTCAAAATGAACCCGCTGCGAGGCAGAGAGTGCTTTTGAACATGTGAAGAATGCCTCCCTGGAAGGTGCCAACTTTCTTCTTTTCTTTTTAGAGAACCACACATACACACACATGTTGTCAAATTCAGAAAGGAAATAAACCCAAAACCCCAATCCCCAGGCTTGAAACCTTTCTGTTCTACCACCAAACAGTCCTAAGCAAGAAATTCTGGTTAAACCCACTGGTTCAACCAGCACCTAGCACAGCACTGGATGTTTTGATATTATTATTATTACTATTATTTATTAATTATTGGGCATGTTGGCAACCCTGGCCATGGAGGGGGGGGAGGGTTCACAGGCCACCTGCCGCTACTCACTGCGAGCCTGTAAGTCTGCATCATTTTATCAAACTCCTCATCAATTTTTTTATATTTCTCTTCCGTCTGAGGCGTCAACGTAAAGACGTCATCCCCGTCGGGGCTTTCACACTCTCTATGCTTCTTGTTCAGCGCCTGTTACGTGGCCGGGGATGGGGGAAGGTGAGGGGAAGGTAGTTTGGATCGGGAGGGGAGAAATCGAACAAAAAAAAAAAAAAGGAAAAGGGGGAAAAAAGAACAGATAATGAAGGATTTTCGGCCTGGGGTAGCACGTTTACTTACGCCGTAGCGCTTGAACAGTATATCAAGATCCTCGCTGGCTTTGCGATATTTGTCCTCCATCAGCGGGCTCTGGTCGATGGAGTCATCACCGTCAGGTTCCGGGCTGTCACAGCCGTTAAAACCTTTCTTTCTTAATGTCTGAAAGCAGAACCAGGAGAGGTTCAGGCCTGAAACTATATCCAGAGTTCGAGAGGGAACGAAAGGTGGGAAAGGAATAGTGTTATTACCAGCAAAAGGTACAGCATTAAAACAATACAAGTACATAGGTTGTGTAAAAAGTTTACATATTGTAAAGGCACTCCTCCTGGGGGGGGATGCACCGAGGTGAAAAAGTAACTTAAATTTCTTACCGGTGCTGTCTCTTTCAGGGGACACAAAACAGAAGATGGGAGGTACTGTTTCAGCCAGTTACTTATTGGTTCTTATCTACAACAGTCTGTACCAGTTTACTTTCAGCCTTGGGAACACAGGATGTCTCTGTGACTAAGCACAGTCATCATGCCAAACTACAATCGGTACTAACCAACGGCTTGTTTCAGACATAAGGGCAAGCCACGGTTTCCCACCCCATGAACAAGCCTAAGGAATCCTCAGGTTCTCGCAATCCCTCTTTTCCTTCCGAAGTGTCAAGATAATTAGTTATTTCCAGGCTTGCCAGAAGTCATAGTTTGCTGTCACAGCTTCTAAACAATGTCTTGTTACCAGTTTGGGATCCTGGTCTGAGGGATGAGCACAAGCCTCAGTTTGCCAGTTAAGATATAATAGCAAACTACAGTTTGCTGTAAACCCAGAAATTATTGTTTCGGTCTGCAATGAGGGAGTGAAGGATTGTGCAAGCAAGTTGTACTCCTTCAAAGACTGTTCATACAGCAGCATGTTATGATGGGCCATTATGTCTAAACCAAGCCATAGTTTAAAGCCCAAACCACCAGCTAAACTCCTAAAAAAGACAACCATGGTTGAGAGCTGTTTCTCTGGTCTCATCTGCTCAGCACTCCTGTCCCTAGATACAGTAGCCTCTAGAAGCATTGCAACAACTGTAACCCTGGTTTGTCAATTAAGACATTAAGCCATCATTGGTTCAAACCACAATTTGCAAACCCACTTCAAACCATGGTTTTCAAGTCTAGTTTGCTGGCAAATAAAAAACTAGGGTTTTTAAAAAAAATTTAGGCCAAGCCACAGCAAAACATGGTTTGGCATGAAGTCTCAAATGATCTTCTGGGTTGCAAAATCACTCTGATTCTGTGAACACCACTGGTTTAAGAGACTACTACTGGCAAACCCAGCTCAAATTGAAAGCTATAATCTAGCCATAAATCTCTACACAAGATGTAACTGGAGAATCTGAGGATTATACTAGTAGAGTTTGATTTTATATTTTCAGCATAACTACCGCACTAGTTAGAGAAGACTGTACTTCTTTCTCACTCTTTCAGGTCAGTTACCATTTATGAAAAAGAGCAATTACACATTTCAGATGCATGCCGGACGCGTATCATCAAGACCAAAAAACCCTCTCTCCCGTTAAATACTATGCCTACAAAATTTCTGTTCCACGTGCGCCAGCCAATTTGAAGACTGCCTTCCTCATCCACACTTAATCATTGTATTTTCAAAATACCAGAAGCAATTAGCCTGTATTATGGGATCATCACTTGCCAATTTCTTTTTAAAAGTCAAAGCTGCAACATTTCCTGGAAGTCTTGAGCGCTTTTCGTGCCAACGAGAAACTTAAAGGGGTGTGAGTAAAAAAGGGGGGATGAGGAGGAGGAAATTGGTCTTTTCCAAACAGGGTTAAGCATTTCAATTCAAAAGCCAAGCTGGAGATTCTCGGTGTGTGGAAATCAAAGGAAAACACCAGGGAATCTACTTTTTTGTCATTAACCTTAAAAATCTGCAGTTTTGATGAGGTGGAATTTTGCAACACTCCGCATACTCAAATTATATGGGGAGGGAATGGATTTTTCTAAGCTTTCCCCCCTCCCTTTCCTACTGCTCTCTCCATTTTCAGCAAATGGATTTCCACAAAGCTTCGTACTGCCAACTGAACATCGCGCCAGAAGCAGAATTTTAACGGTACAACGGTAAATAAAATCACAACAGCCAATATGGCCGGTCAGATATCATGCGGTTACATTTCGAGAATAGCGATGATGCCACGGCCAAACACTTGAGTAGCGCTGCACAATCCAGAACAAGGACATCAGAAACGTGGGGTGGGGTGCCAAAATCTACTGGAAAAAGGAGGCCATTTTTCAGCTTCAGGAGAGATGAAATTGGAAATACGCTTGAGTGGTTTCCAGCCCAGCCATTTCAAAAGACCCAAAACTGCATTCATATCTCATTGACTTAAAGGCACCTCCAGTAGGACGTTTTCTCGCACAAGAAAATTTTCAACAGAACAGTGTCTCATTTGAGACAAGCTTCCATAGTTCTTTCCTATTTCTAATGTGCTTTTTAGGGGGGGAGAGACAGAGGGCACCGATTGTTCTCAGAAATGAGGCTACACTCATTCTTCCCACAGGTGGAGAACAATAGGAGATCAAAGGTGACCGTTTTGTAGGGAATATTTCAAAGCGACGAACCCAGACTTGGTTGGCAACCCCTTCTTGCTTAACAAGCTAGGGCTCTTTTCTCCAAGCTTTTCAACTACCCCCCAGCAGAGAACCAGCAGGCATCTCCCTTTCTCAACAAGCTAACCAAGAGGGCAGAGAACAGGAGCGTGAAAGGAAAAGCAAAGTGTTCAAACACCACCCTATCTTTAAAAGCCGGGGCTCAAAGAACGTACACATCCTCGTTAAAGTCCCTCCAGCACAGGACCAATCTGTGGCCAATTTCAAGGGGGCCTTACAAGCAGAGCAGGAGTAATCGCCCAACCGTGGTTAACAATTCTCATCGCTGGAGGAAAGAGAGCTGGACGACAGCTTCAAAACAGGCAACCCACAGAGCTCTGCTGGCAAAAGATTACCCTCTGCTTAGGGGGTAATTAGCCCTGATCTCCATAGCCCAAGGCCAGCCTGAGCTCCTCAGATCTCCGAAGCTAAGCAGAGTCAGCCCTGGTTAGTATTTGGATGGGAGACCACCAAAGGGCACCAGGGTTGCTACGCAGAAGCAGGCAATGGCAAATCACCTCGGAACACCTCATGCCTTGAAAACCCCACAGGGTCACCATAAATCAGCTGTGACCTGGGGGGAAAAGATAATCAAGGTACACCCACTGCCACCCCCTAGGCCACCACCGTCCAGGTCCAAGCTGACACCTATGTAGCCTCACCAGGCCCAAGGAGGCAATACCAATCACTTCCTGTGCTGCCAATGGCCAAGAGCAAGCCAAGAAGACCCTGAAGTGCAATGGCATCCCTCCCTTCTCGACGAATGGAGCAGTGGACGCTCAAAACCTTATACCCTGAAAATCTCATTGGTCTTTGAGAGTTGCCCCTAGATTCGAATCTCTGTCTGCCAGTTTGGTCTAGTGGTTAAGTGCACAGACTCTAATCTAGGAGAACCGGGTTTGATTCCCCACTCCTCCACTTGCACCCGCTGGATGACCTTTGGCAAGCCATAGTTCTGATAAGAGCTGTCCTCGAAAAAGAGCAGTTTCTGTGAAGAGCTCTCTCAGCCCCACCTACCTCACAGGGTGTCTGTTGTGGGGAGGGGAAGGGAAAGGAGTTTGTAAGCCGCTCTGAGACTCCTTTGGGTAGTGAAGGGCGGGGTATAAATCCAATCTCTTCTTCTTCTCCTCTACTGTAAAGCAAAATGGCTACCCACCTGAAACTATCCACCTTATTGTGTTGCCCCAAGTAGACATATGGGTGGCTTGACCAGAGAACCAACCGTGCCCTCAAATGGGTTAGTGTATCAGGACAAGCCATCACTGAAGATAAGGCAGAGAAGACAGGGATGTTTGAAGCTAAGGCAGAGAAGACAGGGATGTTGTCTCAGGTCTTATCACAGCACCTCAGACCATCGAGGACTAGTTCGTACCACAGTGACTTTGACAAAACATTTTGTAGTAACGTGTAACTCAACAGCAGGGGCTCATGGCTTAATCAACAAAGATCTCACATTCAGTCAAGTTTATTTATTTATTTATTATATTTATGCCCCGCCCATCCTGTGAACAGGCTCAGGGCGGCTAACAATGTGGTACCATGTACCTAATTGGCATAAACATAAAAAATTTAAAACTACATAAAACACATACTCATTCATGACATAAATTAACAGTTAGCAATAAAGTGTTTGCGGTACTAAAGATTAGATGGCGTGCTTTCCAGATCTAAATCCACGCTGTTCGTCCAATCATCATCCCTCGAGCCGATGGGCCTAGCGATACAACTGGGCCAGACCTAGAGCTCTGTCTTACAGGCCCTGCGGAACTGTAAAAGGTCCCGCAGGGCCCTGATCTCCTCCGGGAGCTCATTCCACCAGTAGGGAGCCACCACAGAAAAGGCTCTGGTCCTGGTACTGGTGAGCCTTGAATCCTTGGGGCCCGGAATAGTCAAACGATGTTGGGCCCCTGACCGTAGTGCTCTCTGGGGTACATACGGGGAAAGGCGGTCCCTCAGGTAGGTCGGTCCCTGGTCATGTAGGGCTTTAAAGGTAAGCACCAGCTCCTTGAAACAAATCCGGTATGCACATTCACATTCAGTCAAACCTCACGTTCAGCCAAACAAAACCTATGCTGTGTTGCATTCGGTTGCATTCGGTCAGAATGCTGTTGCATTCGGTCAGTACTCATTCTTTCCCACCTCGTACCCCCTTCCTTTCCCATCTCCCCCTGCGTTTGTAACCCTCAAGTTGCATAAACTGACTTATGGCGACCCTGTAGGGTTTTCAAGGCAAGAGATTTAACACAGGTGGTCCGCCATTGCCTGCCTCTGTGTAGTAACCCTGGAATTCCTCTTGGGGGGGTCTTCCATCAGGGCCAACCCCACTTAGCTTCCGAGATCTGATGAAACTGGGCTAGCCTGAGCCATCCAGGTCAGAGGTTTGCAATATTAGTGGTCCACGTTTGGCTAAATCGTACCGTTCAGGGTTTTCAAAGCAAGAGACACTTGGAGGAGGTGCGCCATTGACTGCCTCTGTGTAGCAGCCCCAGACTTCCTTGGTGGACTCCCATCCAAGAACTTCCA